ATGAGTGATGAGTAATTCCTATTGCACCTGTTAGGTGTAGATTCGACAAACAAACGTTCAATGATCAACCTATCCCTCTCCACCTACCTACATTACATTTTAGAATTTTAACTCTGTCCCACTCTATTGTGTGATTGTATGTTAATGCATGCAGTGCTATTGCTGAGTTTCTTTCTAAATTACTTATCTTTGCGGAGTCAGTCATTCTGTACTTAACCAAATTCTAATGTGATGACAGTCTGATAATTTGGAAAGAAGCTCAGCAATAGCACTGCATGCATTAACATACAATCACACAACAGAATGCGAGAGGGTTAAAATTCTAAAATGTAATGTAGGAAGGTGGAGAGCAGGAGAGGTTGATTACTGTTCATCGAGTCTATACTCAACACATGCAATAGGAATGACTCACCACTCATATCAGAAATATGAAAAATACTACTACCAATCAAGTCAGACGATGAAAAATAATGGAATTATATAAACGAAGTTAGAAAGTTGTGTGATTAACTTGATGTGACAATGAGCGACTATAAATTGTGCTCGAAACACCATCAGTAAATATTACTGCATAACACTGTGAGTCTTGTTCAAAATAAATTTTATCCACAATGAAACATTTTCATATGTTATACTGGACAGCGTAATCTATCCGCATTTACGTAACCGATTTTTACCTGTTTTTCCATTTCTTAAAGTTCCGTACACCTTTTTGTTACAGATTCAAACAGATTATCATGAATTCATATTTGCTGGCAGTTTGAATGACAAGGTAATACATAAATATGTTTGTTATAAATAACACACATTACTAATAGATTTGAGTAGTCAAAACTATTTTTATAAGAAAAACTATAATGCTTGTTAGTCAGATAAAAATGGTCTAAGCATCTGGCAGCCATTTACCTTGTTCACCAGCTAAACTCATCAGCCCAGAGAGTGTAGTCAGCTGTTATCACACATTAATTCTGTGCAGCCATTTTGATTATCCTGTGTCGCATAATACAAGAAGTTATACTATATTTTACAAATATCAGTTAGAGAACCATTGAAAACCAGGGAGTACTGGATTGATATCAATCCGTGATCAACTCGTAAAAACAAAAAAAAAACTAATCCTTGCGAACCAGCAATATAAAAACTTACAAATATACCAAATTAGTTCCATATCTATTAAAACAACATAACAAGGGGAACCGAATCCACTCGCAGAGATGCTGTCACACTGCTGTTTGATGAAACAGGTTAATTTCAGCAGTGCCAGAAACTGTTAGAATAATTATAGATATGTGTTTATCAATCCATAGTTTTCAACACAGGATGAAAATGTATTATTATTATTTCCTCAGGTTTTGAGTGAAGCAAACGACATCAACACCACGTCTCCATTTCGTCGTGTTCTCTGCAGCTCTCTTTATCTGATTCCACGAATGCCCATAAGCTATCGTCTACACCTCATACGATCTCCTCCATGTCACCCGAAGACCCACGCCCAACTTATCGTTTCCCGTTCGGGTTCCGCTTGCAGGCCTGACACGTGATTTCACTCAATGGTCTTCTTAGCGTATATTTGATCCATCTCCACTTTCTTCGTCATATTCGTTGGACAAAAGGTTGTTGGTTGGTTCATCTGCAAGGTTCTTTGTTGCTAATCCTTTCCAACCAGCCACCTGATCTTCAATATTTAGTGAATGAAGCTACTGATAAACATCTTCAGCAGCCTGTAGGAAATGCTTTTGGTGACGCACGCTGCAAGTCTCTGAACCATACAGGAACACTGACTAACTTGACATTAGAATCAAAAATCCGAATCTTGTTCACTACGCCTACTGAAGGAGATTTCCATATTGATTTCAAATTATTAAATGTCTGTCTTGCTTCTGAGGTACTGTCTTTGACAACTTAATCCAAGCTGCTGCCTGTAGTTTAGACGACAATGCCTGGATAAGTGAAAAAGGGGATTCCTTCAGATTTCTTTCATCGATGGTGATTGGTGCTTGTTGTTGTTGAAGATGATGGTTAGGTATCTCCATCACCTCTATCTCCTGAATGTCCACTTGAAGTCCTTTCTTCACTACCTGCCTCTATGGCCAACTTGTTGGCTTTTGTCTATAGATCTTTGAGTGTGTGATATCAGGCATAAATAATCCGCGAAGTGTAGATATTCAAAGGTCTTCTTGTTGGTCTAGATTTTGCCCGTCTTCTCACTCTCAACTCATGCTTTCTTACATGATCCAGTCCGTCACAATCAGTAATATCATAGGTGATAGTTAGAAGCCTTGTCCTACTCTTGTTTTCGCTTCAGAAGCATCATTAAGCTTTCCATTGTGGATCACGTGGCATTTGCTTATTGTAACGAAAATGCTATCCTTCTTAGTAAATATTTATTTTAAAATGACGAAATATAATTTTTTGGGAAAAGTAAAGACAAATTCATTTCCTCCCGGCTTAGTGGCCTGATGGATAACTCTCTGGCGTTTGAAATGTTTGTTGATAGGTTCTAGTCTCAGTGAGAACACCTTCATTCGCTGTCAACTCACCTGACGAGTTTTAGATTGGCCAAAAACGCGTCTCTGATTCCACTGCTAGCCAACAGCAGGCAAATAACTTCGACTAAATAATCCTGTTAATAATGAGGCAGTCATCCAAGGAGCCAATATGCTGAATGTGAGGGTGACCGACTGGCTCAGATATATTAACAACAAATCACAAACAGAATTTTATTTATTTCTGTAGAATTCAGGTTTCAAAATTAACCTAACGAATTAAGTAACTGTAGTATTTACTGAAGATATGAATAACGGAGAGAATGTCGTTGACGAATAAAGTTACGCCTTTCTGTATACTTTTATCGGTCAATAAGTATTAACCAATGTCATTCGTCTAGTCATTCAGCTGGTGCAGAATGAATTCCGTCAGTCTTCCGTGATGACTACACTGCAGACGTGACTGATATCAGTGAATCTGCACTAACCCAAGGACTAGTAGCAAGACACTGGTCACCATCTCGCAACTTATCAAACTAACCATCATAATCCCACTACAAAAGCCGACATGTTGTCGTCTGAATGCAGCAGACCATTCTTGGCATTCCATTGTCTGGTTAGCCAGAACTTCCTTTAGTCACGCGCAGTACAAAAATGCATTGACAACGGTAAAAAGATAGTTATTTACAATAAAATCTGAGGTAATATCTAACAATAATAACATATCAAAAAAACAAAATCACCTCATCAATACTACTAGGCAGCTATACACATCAAGTTATTCCTCAATATCCCAACCTATAACCGTACAACAGAGTTATTTGACCAAAACAAACCGTAAGAAGTACCTGAGCATCAGATGGAATATCCCCAACAAGTTGGGATCAAGGCTCTGTCAGCAAGAATCCTGCATCGAACAATTCCAAGGCCAGAATAACCTTGACTAACTCAAATAACAATTACAGTCGTAAGTCAACAGATGATATTCAAATCTCAGAACAATGGTGTACAGTCCAGGAGAAAAGACAAGAATAATTACAAATTGTTAAGTATTGGTTTTGTAGGGATTTTTGTTTGATTGGATGGGATTTCATCATGAGCTGACATCAGTTAGAGAACCAGTGGAAAACCAGCTGGGAGTACTGAACAGCTGTTTCGTCAGTCCCGCTTGGGACACTTCAGCAGCACGCACCCATCGAAGAAGACATTTTGAAGTGGTCGCGCTATGTCGTGAATTGGCAGAAGTTAGAATTTATGGGCTGGCCACTAGATCGGGTCCCAGTGGCTCAATGGTCTACGACCTCGCCTTGTAACCAGAAGGTCCTCGGTTCGAACCCTGTCAGTGAATGCGTACCGATAAGCAGTCCCAAACTAGGACGGAGGCAACAGCTGTCCGGTTCTTCCAGGTCTTCCAATGATTCTGTTACTGATGTCAGCTAATGATGAAATCCCCAATCCAATCAATAATCACAGAGTCAGTTGAAATGTCTAAATAAGCAGCAATGTCATGAATAATTTGTTCAGGACGGATTCTGCGAACAACTATTCTGATACATGGGTTAGTAGTAACATCTCTGACTGCAGTACTGTGTGACGCGAAGCATGAGTTCCTTCAAGTTCACAAGTACGCCTTACTGACTCATCACTATCAACAGGCACGAAACCTAGATGTAAAATTTCCCACCGATTGCCTCCAAGTACTTGAGATATTAGTTGTGTCTGAAAGTAGAAAGCAGTTGAATACTTGTATACCGCTATGTTTGTTTAAAAAGACGCATTATTCGTCTCTGTGAATTTCATAGATTTTTTGAGTTTTACCCAACAGTGTTTCTCTTTTTTTATTCCTTCACGTTCCCAGTGGAACATAGGACTTCAAGCAACAGTCAGCTTGAAGTTTCTGTAGCAGTGTTTATTTATACAGGATGGGGTTGCTAGCCTCATGCCTAACCTTTCCTCTTTACCAGCTCTATTACTGGCTTAGAGAGGTAAGGGAGTGTGTCGGCCGGGGATCGAACCCCGGACAACGTGCATGGTCGGTGAGCGGCCTTATCACTGTGCCACCGACACACCACCGATAACATTTCTCTATTTCAACTTAAACAATTGATTTAGCCAGTCTGTTGTGAAATACATCCTATTTTACACGTTCATCTAAAATTATTTAACTCAAAATTATAACAGATAATATTGTTTGGTTAATTAGAATTTCAAAATCAGCAATATACGTCTATTGAACTTTGTACAAAGTATACAGCCTACACTGATTCAAAACAAAAACATTATACAAAACACTTAAACATTTCTGAATTTTTTATAATTTCTTTTATAGTTTGTCCCCATTTGTATTTACCTAAGCATCAAAGTTGAATATAACTCACATTTTCATCTCATCTCATGTACTTTGTAGGGTCGAATGGTGTTAGCCAGTCTGTTGTGAAATACATCCTATTTTACACGTTCATCTAAAAACTATATAACTCAAAATTAAAACGTATAACATGGTTTAGTTAATTAGAATTTCAAAATCAGCAATATACGTCTATTGAACTTTGTACAAAGTATACAGCCTACACTGATTCAAAACAAAAACATTATACAAAACACTTAAGCATTTCTGAATTTTTTATAATTTCTTTTATAGTTTGTCCCCATTTGTATTTACCTAAGCATCAAAGTTGAATGTATAGATATATACATATATATGCATACGTGTATATATATAACTGATTATTTGACTCTATTTTTATTAAGTGACACAGAAACAACATTATGTTCTTTGAATTCATCGCTTTGATTGTCTTATGTGGTGAGTGGTGTGATTTCATGAAAAATAACTCACATTCTCATCTCATCTGATCTCATGTAATTTGTAGGGTCGAATGGTGTTATTGGCGATGAACGCGATCAGGTAAATCCGGACTCTTATCAGTATGATTAGCCTTTTTGTATAATCCTAATACTGATTAAAACTAAATAGAACATTCTAATGATAAGATAATTATTGATTACTGAAATATTTCATTCGATGATGACCATTACCTCTTACACAAGAACTATCATACATATCGCAGTAGACTAATGGACAATAATTTGAGGTTCGAGGGGATGAATTCTGGCTACGAGTCTCATAAGGAACAACGGTTACTCACTGGAATACAGTTATATCTGGTTAATGACTTTCAAATAAGAGGTAACAGCAGTCCTGAAATGCAGTGTTACGCCCTTCATCAACACACCTTACATAACTATAGTTGAATGGATATCTTTCACTCTGTTGAGATTTATTGCATTTAATCTTACACTTATAAGAAAGTTAGTGACCATTAGGTAACCGACTATTTTATTGAATTCATTTATTAGCACAGTGAAATGAGAACTAAATCGGCAAACAGTGACTGCCCTTTTTTCATTAGCGTAAGAAAACGATAGGTTTCAGTGTTCCAGAATATTGTGTCTCAGATACGTCTTGAGTTGATTATCACGAATAAGCACAAGTCTAATGTTTGACGTATCATATTGTCTCAAGTAAACACCTTATTCCATTATGGTGTATGACCACATTTCATTCCTAATGGATGGGATTCAACTTACACACGAATAGATGTTTTTTTACAGTAAAAATAAGTAACTTGTTAGAATGTTATAATGTGAATTGAATACATTTTAACATTATTTATTAGCCTCTGATTTGACTGGTGGTAATAATATCTTCCATATCTCTGGTATTTGCGTTGAGTCACTTCTATTGCATGTGTTGGGTGTAGACTCAATGAACAAGGATCCAGTAATCAATCTCTCTCTCCACCTATAATAATGATAACATGAGTGAGAAAGAATATTTGGCATCTATAGTTTTACCATATAAGGAGGGGACGTCTGAAATTCTCCCTACGGAGGATTCTCAATAAAGCAGGAATTAGGGTGGCATTCAAACCCACAAACTCACTCAGACATAAGCTCTGTAGGCTAAAGGACCCAATGGAACCAATTAAACAAAATAATATAATTTACAAAATACCTTGCAATGACTGTGAGTTGAATAAACTACATAGGTCAAACTAGTAGGTCGGAGGTATTCCGATTGTTGGAATATAAGAATTCACCTAAAATAAGAATGCACGACCCCGAGAAGATAAATAATTGAGAAAAATTTTCAGCGATTGCACTGCATGCATTAACACACAACCACAAAATAGGGTAGGTGGGACAGAGTCAAAATTCTAAGAAGTAATAAAGGTAGATGAGAGAGAGAGTTTGATCACTGAATGAATCCAGCTTCATCGAATACACACCCAACATGTGCAGGTCCTCCTTTCTCTGTTTTAAACTGCCACAACATTTTCCTACTGGAATGCATACTATGAATAGCTGAAATCAAATTCACATTATTGCTTTTCCTTACTGATACCTTTTTCAGATACTCTTAGTGAAACCCAAAGCAGCTGAAAGCAATTTATGTAAGTACTGAATTGTTTTTTCTTTTGTTTGTTTGTTTCTTGTGACATTTGGTTTTTACCTTTTATAAACTTATGACTACACTACAACGTTTAGCAATAAATCTAGCTTAACTCAGATGTACAATACACTGATAGTGTCATACTTCAAGATAACTGAGTTAATAAAATTACTCACTGACTGAAGCAAATAGTGTATGGGGAGACTGGGATTTAGAGAAAACAACAGATTGAGCAGCGAAGAAATATGCATCCCTTCTCAATTAGTTCCTCATCATCGACTCTACACTAATATATAGTTGTTTTTTTACATCAAAATGTCTTACCAATCAAGTGGTTATTTTAGTTAATCAGTTTTAGGTATACCTACAGGGTGAAATCAAGAGGTTAAAGGTCATCAAAACAAATAATTAATAGATGTTAGTAGCAAGATATCTAAGTTTTAAAATAGGGGTGGAAATTAATTACGAAATTCAAGATAGGTTGATTCTTAGGCGTTGGCAGCAAGTTATTGGATAACCAAGAAATTTGTAAAATGGCAATGATGACTAAGAAGAATAGGATGACTCAGAAAAATTACGTAAAATACAAACAAGTTAATAGAATTAGCTAGAATTGTAAAAATTATAAAAAAAAGTCAAAAGCTAGTTACAAGGGGAGGGGAAAAACTCGTTTTTAAAAAACTAATACATATTATGTAGTTGGGCATGGTAAACAAAGGGGCTGTACAAATTTCTTTTGAACACTCACAGATTTGACTTGTTCAGATGAATTCCGATTACCTCTACTGTACGTAAAGGTCGTACTCATGGACCACGCGAGAAGTTGGGTGCTATACGATAAATAACTTTATAAACTTTGTTAGAGTCGGCTTGACGTTCAGTGTTTACGAGATGAGCTATTATTGAACTGCGTACAGCTTTATTCGGATCTTCGTAAACCAAGATGGGAGGTGTTCAAAAATTCGACAGTGGATTTGTCTGATAGTACGTCCTATGTAACTAGCTTCGCATAATGAGTTGAACTGGTAAATACACATGGAAGAGGCGAAACAGGCCAGTCTGTTTTTATTTCTTGAACTAAGTATTGGTCGGTTGGTGAATACATAGCATAGCATAGTTGCATAGAAAGTCCTTTTGAAGACCATTCTCAGACGTTGTGATAAGATCTCACTATCGACATCACCCGTGAATTGTAATGTGTGTGTGTAAAGTAATGAAGATTGTGGTGAGCTGAAATTATTATGACTAACTATCAACTAATTGATACTACTTTTGTAGATATTCCTTCGGTCATCAAAATTTGACATTAAAAGAGAACGTACCATCATATCTCTAGACATTTAAGCTCATTTAGCTGAATTGATTAGAGATGCCCATTAAAAGATGCCTAAAGACTGAGATTAGTGAGCAAAGAATATTCTTCTCGATAACTTCTTCATCAGGTTCTGCATTTATACAACCGCCATAGTTGAAGTAATCTTTTAAACTACATTGAATCAACAATAAAGACAGATTACATTTGAAAAGCTTCAGTAAGAGATAATATGCACCATTACAACACTGAACTGAATATCCGGTAAATTAAGGGAAATAATACAGAATTTGTGAATTTATAGGTTCAACACCATGTCAGGGTAGCAATAAAAGCTGGACGTGTTCCCGTACACATAGAGGTCCAGTTGATTTATGCGAATTGCACTTGTTTCTGTTCTGTGGAGTGTTCGATATCTGGAGGCCCATTGGGAATCTGTTCGATACCCAACAGATGATAGAAAAAGATGCTTCAGTGCTGCTAGCTTTGTGGCGTGTTTGGATCAGGTGGTCTTCTATAGAACTGTTGATGACTTTAGCAATACCTTTATTTAGCCTGACTCGTTGCTGCTACAGAGCACGAAAAATTTAGTTCCTAGAGCCATGGCCAATCTAACTGGCTCCACAAGGGTAGCTGAATTGATAGATACCATAAAAAATGGTTAGCCTGGGTTTTTCGTCTTTTAGTTTAGGAATCAAAACCGGTTGTATGGAAAATATAAGCAGCAATTAACTGGCGTTAAATGCTCTTCGAATTAACTTTTCTCAACTTTTCAGTTAGTATTCTGCTTGTAAGTGACCTTCAGATTGCAGTCGTATATGTAGAGGCATTTTATTTAATATTCACAACCATTTTATATCTAGATAATGCGTCCATCACACAATTAGCCTATTTGAAACTCTAAGTACTTGCTGAGAATATCCTTAGATATAGAAGGATAATCTTCATACTAACTTTACAATTTTGATGCGTAGATATTTATGAAATTTTAATTGTAGAACTGATTATTTCTGAATTAAACCTCGGTCTAATTGCTGAAAGAAGTCTCCCAATCAACTAACTAGTTTGGTATGCTCAATTCTTTAAAAACTCAACAGAGTGAAGCTGTTCATCTCGCATTTTATGAAATTGAATGTTTGCTTCAGATGAACTTTACACTTGACAGTTTCATTCCTGACAAGTGGAGTGTATAAATCAAAATGGCACTTCAGCGGTTTAAGATAGCTTACCAAATGAAACTGTATATTGACAAATGTCACATGAAACATTCAATGTTCAGTATTCATTTATTAAACCATTCAGTACAGACAATAGACATGACTTGTAAAAGCTAATTTTCAAGTATTGATTTTTATAGGGATTTTGTTTGATTGCTTGGGGGAATTCATCATGAGCTGATATCAGTTGAAGGTGAGGCAGTAACTCATCACCGAAAAGGACATTGCAAAGTGGTTGCGCCATGTCATGAATTGGCAGAAGTTAGAATTCATGGGCTGGACATTGAATCGGGTTCCAGTGGCTTGATGGTTTACGAGCTCGCTAGCCTTGTAACCAGGAGGGTGCTGGGTTCAAACCCGTTGTGGTGGGTGGGTACTGATGAGGAGTCCCAAACTAGTCTGACGAAACAGCTGTCCAATTCTCCCAGCTGGTTTTCCAATGGTTCTCTAACTGATGTCAGCTCATGAGGAAATCCTCCAACCAATCAAATATGATAAACTTTTGGGAATCTGAAGGCTATTTATGAAGTGCACTGAATGAACACAGTTAGATATAGTCAAATCTGTTCAGTGAAACCTCATTATGTCGTCTGGTGTTTTAATGTTCACTTTTGTGGTATTTTAAAGATTAATATGCTTCACAGGTATGAGAATGTTCTGGTGTCTCAAGGTACCTTGGCGCCAACAAAAATAACATCTAAAATCACTTCAGCATGGTGAAATATTCATTCATTTTGAACCCCTACAACAGCTTATCATTCAAAATGCATTCATTCCATTGGTGGAAGTCTGTTTAGGTATTCACAACTCCGTTTATTGATGTTTCTCAGTGACTGAAAAATAGCTCAAAGAAGTGAAGGCGTATCACTGACTTCCTTCCTGTTTGTATATTAAGTGTGTATCCACTTCCACCTTATAAGAATCCAGTAGTTTAACTTATAGTGCAATCTAATTTTCTATACACTTATGATTGATTGATCATCTGATTGGTGTGAGTGTTTGATTACCGCTCACTGCAACAACCAAATCCGAGGTATTATGGTCTAAACGTAGGAAAACAATGTTTGCGTTCTACTGTGTAGCTACACAAAAAACGTCCTTGAGATACTGCCAATTTCGAAATGCTTCGATGATAGCAAAAAAAAAGTTATTTGCATCAAAAACTCAAAATTACTTCACCAATGCCGATCGACAGCTGTACAGATCAAATTACTCATCAGACACACAAAAAAGCGCCAAACAGCAAAGTTAATATACCAAAATCAAGTGTTAAAAGTACCTGGGAATCAAGCAGAATATTCCCAACAAGGTGGGACAGAAAACTCTGTCAGTAAGAATCAAGCACCCCACAATACCTACAGACAGTTCAAGGTCAGAATGGCTTTGACTCACTCAAACAAAATTCACAGTCGTAAAACAACATATTTTCGGCATGATCACATAACCCTAAAACAGAAGCAATAAAGTTAGAGAAATTCGACAGAAACAAGGACAAATAATAAGGATTAAGTCAACAGAATAATGATATATAGTCTAGGCGAAAAGAGGAAAGCAATTACGAAGTTAGTTAACATTTCCAAAGAAGTATCAGAATTGTAACCAGATCGCCCAGGAGGCATTTTCCAAACAGCTTTTTCGTTACATCAACCAGCATGTGTCTCTAGGCAAATCAAAATGATCTAAGCACTTCACAGCCGATTCGGTCGCTCGGGGTGGAGCTAATCAGCGGTAGACTGTGTTCGACTCAGCTCAGAGAACCGAAATCAGTCCAAAACACCCAAATTTTGATGTTCAAATTATTTCTAGCTAGCTAGCCATCACTTCTGATAGATATAACTGGTATCCAACCATTAGGGAGAACCACTGGAAAACTGGGGAATACTGGATAGCTATTTCGTCACAGTCTAAGAGTCTTCACCAGTAGGCACGTACCAAGTTTTGAATCCAGCACCTTCCTGTTACACGATGAGTTCGTGGACCATTCAACTAATGGGATCTGGTCCAGTGGACCATGAATTCCAACTTCTGCCGATTCCAATAGTTCTCTAATAGATATCAAGTCGTAATCAAACTTGTAACCAACGAAATCCCTGTAATCCCACAGTTTATCTTTTAGAATTTTCATCATTATTCCTTTTCACTGAATTTTAATGTGTCGCTGATACTTTTTCTCTTTGTAAAACAAATTTGTCACATTTTATTCAATTTAGTTTCTATTCAGAAAGTAGATTAACATTCAATGATATTCTCTTTTTTATAGTCTGTGAATTCTGTACTTCAGCAATGAACGCTACAAAGTACATATTGGACACTGATCCTTTATTACCGTATATTTATAAATATCTAGATCAAATATGCGATTTATTTCCTGAAAATTATCAAGAAAAAGTATGCGCTGTAACTTTTAAATTTAATATATCACACGTTTTCCAGTTTTTTTTATAAGAAGAATTATCTCACTAATAACTTGCCACCACATTGAACATCTTGTATTTTATGAATATGCCCTTAAATTCTAATACGTAGGCTAGATAGTGATGTTATTTAATTGGTAGAGACCAAAGTTGGGATCCATGATGCGTATTTCGTCCTGTTTGGCACTAGACAGTTGGATGTGCCTGCATTCCCAATGAGAGATAGTGTTTCCGCTGAAACTGGAACCCATTACTCCTTTCTTGAAACACTAACGCATTGTTCACTACCCCAACTGGGTCATGAGAGCCACAATCCCTCACTAGTGAACTGCAAATATATCCAGATAACCAGTCTGAAGTATGCCGAAATGCCCATCCTGGAATCCACTGTTGATCACACCCCCATTAAATGATGTCATTTTATTCTCAAACATCTCATCGAGGCATCCGTAGTGGAAGCGGACACGTCAGCAGAGACTGAAGATTTCTATCCAGTGAAGTCTACCAACGGGAAACACAAAGTCAACTTCAAAAACTGAATAGTAACCATTTAGATTATGTGCACTTGTAGGGATTTGGATTATATCCACTGTAGATATCGTCGCGAACCAACATCAGTTGTAAAGATCACTGAAAACTAGGGAACACTGAACAGCTGTTTCGTCCCAATTTGAGACTCTTCAGAATTGTTGGTTCATGTCGAAATCTACATTCAAATAAAAACAAATCCTTAAAAACTCCGTAATCTAAATTATTAATCTCCGTCCTGTTGGTGACTACTGAACGGATCGATGTCTTGAAGCTCTTCTGAGAAGTTGTGACCAGCGAGGTCCATTATTTCAAGATGAAATTGATGCTGACCAGAGCCAACTGTTTCAGGGTAGAGGTATATCACTAAATGATGAAGTTAGAATTGTCAAGTACTGGCTTGCAGGTGTTTAGCTGATTACAAATTCGATGATGCTCTGACATCAGTTTGAAAATCATTTAAAAACCAGGGAATACTGGACAGCTGCTGTGTCACAGTCTTGACTCTTCAGCAGTACTCACCTACCACGATTCGACCCCAGGAGCTTCCAGTTCGTACTTCTGAAAAGTTAGAATTCACTGATCATTGAATTCCAACCCAAGTGGCTGAATATTCAACGATCTTGGTCTCATAACCTGGAGTTTCTGGGTTCGACCACTAGTGAGAAGTCCCAAAATAGCACAAAATAGCTGTTCAATGCTTCCTGATTCGTGACAAAATGTACAATGAAACAGTAATCTGTTTAAAGTTAGTTTGACGAAACGTTTAAATAACTGAAGAAAACATTGTTGTCAAACTAATTTATGGTAACTATGAGATCTTGAAGTAAGTGTGTATTTAGCTGACATTATCATCACACTGATATTTCTTTCATCAATGGGTTGAAATTCAATATTTTTTAAAGTGTTCTATAACTGAGGTGAAAAAGTGCCTAACATAGAGGTAGACGAATTGTTATTCCAGTTATCTACATATTTCACTCTGGTAAGTTTGAGGAGATTCTATTTATTTGTCCGATGTTCTTAATGGTCACTCAAATGGTCACTCACTTTATGACAAATAACATGGAAACAGTGACACATGTACATCGAATAAGTGAACTGTTGAATGAGAAAAGAATGTTTAGTGTTAGCTATGCATTCAAAACTTTTAATTAATAAATATAATGTAGAGTTTAATATGTAGAAAAATGGCTTTATTTATTAGACATTACCTAAAGAGAAAACGTCAAATCTTCTCCCTATAATCAAAAGCCTTAAAGGTCTCATAAACATATGTCAGTTAAGGTGATATCTAACTTCTATTTTGGAGAATTATGTGCGCCGAGAGATGTGCTGCACAAAACCTGATAGTTTATGCTAGGGCCGCAATACTGCCCTGACGCCCAGACGGGTGGTTGTTTTTTTAAGAGGTCACCCTCTGACCTCTTACTTGGAATCTGATCCACAAACCAGTGGAGCAGCATCAGTAGATGCATCCTCATGGTTTCCGGTGACCATTTGGATTCTCGAGCTCATGTATACTATTGGTTTGAAATTAGGGTTTTTCATCTGCTCTAGATTTGAGCAGCATATCCACCAGTCCGGTTGTAAGCATCAGACGTTCACGTTAGCCATTTCACTTTTGTGAGGAATATCCCAGGTCGCGTGAAAGCAGTGAATATGACCTACAATAGTTCCCTTAAATGTTAGTTGAGGCAGTGATTCCTAATCAAAGTATGTCTCGAACTAACGGCAACACTGACCGAATTACACTGAGATGAAATATCCGTCGTGTAATAGAGTTCATACCAAAAATTAAGTCCATCATTCCAATCAGTGTATTCTACAATCACGAAGTATTTTCATCATAGTTCAATGTGGTAAATGCAGTTAATGTTAGTTAGTCATACTGATTCATCTTTATTAATCATTACCGAGAATATAATCAATTTCGTATCGGTTGAATACTATGCAACTGGAGATTTATTCTAGCTGATAGGTTGAGAATTAGGAAACCAGCAGTGTTCATCCACACTGCCTCAACATATAATGGTGTTTATTGATCATAATCGTCCTAATACTATCACATATCATTGATCAAATACCAAAAAGAGACGGAATGATTCATTTCTCTGGAAATGACAAGTAACAGATGTCAGCTCATGATGAAATCCTCCAACCAATCAAATAAAAAATCCCTACAAAACTAATACTGGAAAATTGACATGATACTCACTAGCGACTGGTCCTATTCAGGTAGGTAGTTAGCTGGGGAAGCCGTGACCAGTAGGACACAGCAGGTTGAAGGTGAGGCAGTAACTCATCGAAGAAGACACTGCGAAGTGGTCGCGCTATGTCATCAATTGTTAGAAGTTAGAATTCATGGGCTGGCCACTGGATCGGGTTCCAGTGGGTTGATGGTCTACGAGCTCGCTAGCCTTGTACCCAGGAGGGTGCTGGGTTCGAACCCGTTGTGGTGGGTGGGTACTGATGAGGAGTCCCCAACTAGTCTGACGAAACAGCTGTCCAATTCTCCCAGCAGGTTTTCCAATGGTTCTCTAACTGATTTCAGCTCATGATGAAATCATCCCTCTGGTCTGACAGAAAATATATCTATTTATTCGATTAATTTACACGATCAAATAAATCGCACTTTTAATAAAGGAAAATGATTTTTTCACACAACAAAACGAGCGAGGATATAACCTGTCATACAAAAATTACCACGCTTTCCTTACAAAATACTTGTATAGGTAGAACGGAGGAGGCCTCAAATTTCTTCTGGTAGCTGATCTTGTATTACAGGCCTAGAGAAATTCTGTAATCGTATCAGATGTAACGTTTGACTGTCCTGAAGGTGCTTTGTCAAATTTCCTGATGCAGCTAGAATATTCTTTAGGATGTTTGCTATACTATGCGCGAAAACACCTCACGACAGCTTTGATCTCCACTCAAAAAACTACCAGTGATAGGTTTATCTGTCACCTTTAATAACTTTATAATGCAAATCCTGTCTATTTTGTTAATATTCTCTCATGAAATTATTGATACACTTTTCTTTTGACAGTGTCATGATCTTGTACACGGTGGACTAGTTGAGAAACTTCATCAATGGATTGATCAAATCGATATTTATAAATTCTGTGCTGTAAGTATTGAAAATCAATGATTGCTGTGATAGCTGATTCTTATCTCTGAAGCGTTATCACTTTTCAGCTCAAAGTACATATAACACTACGTTTATCCTAATAAATTTGATAAATGAAGCAAGAATTCTACTCACCAGGCAGTTAAATAATGAACTGTGGTGATGTGTTTGGGTGACTTTGAAAGGCATGCTAAAAATTGAATCACTCATCTTTTGTAGCCTCTCGTGTGGCTGGCGCGACCAGAAACGGAAGTACCCAACTGGTATACTGATGTGTCACTGTGAATAAATTTAGTATAGTTAGGGAAAGTAATTGACACGAGGATGTCAACACTGACGTGACTTCAGACAACTTCAGAATATATATTTATTAAGACTGTACAGCTTGGTGATAAATTGGCTGAAAAGAGACTGCTTGCTGAATCACTTGTTTCGATTTTCGTTAAAGTAAACCAGGGAATCAACTACCTTCAGATTCAATTGAAAAAGTCACTCACAGAAATGTCAATGTTATTTATTATATTTATGGCAATATGATGACGAAATATGTCTCCGGATGACTGTTGGAAACGGTGTTTATTTTAATTGACGCAAAATGACAACATTTTCATGGCCATTGTATACCTTCAAAGTTACATATGTAAAATTTTAGATGCTCTAATAACATAGACTTTATGTCTACTGTCTACATGGTGTGCTAAAAGAGAGCTACGCATAGATCTTGTTTATCCCTTAACCTTAACCATGCAGGATAATACTCAGAAACACGGTGGTAAACCTGACTAATTGTACGCCCAGCGTAAATAGCTCAACAGGAGATGCATTCAGTGCAGTGGAGGTACTCTATCTGTTTAAAACTACTCCAGTTTTACATTCGACAAATAAGGATAAACTGCTTGAATTCGCCTCTTGTATGTGTATCCAGCAGTTCGACTCATCATGCGGAGGAGCGAATTATATTGGCCGTTGCTCTAGGAACTTGATTTTTCGTGCTCGAGAACATCTATATTAAGTAAAGGTGTAGTAAGAAATATGAACAGTTCGATATTAGACTACCTGGTCCAAACCAGCCGGCCACAAAGCCAGCCAGCATTGAAGAATCCTTCTCTATAATCTACCGGGTACTAAATAAATTGCCAAAAACAGCCAGGTACCGCATGCTCCAAACAGCAGAGGCTATCGCTGTTCGCATGAAACAACCAGTACTTTGTGTGCAAAAGAAGTAAGTTCAGCCAGTCAGCCACTACTACTACCCTGGCTGGTCCTCAGTGGAGACTATAAATCCATGAATTTGCATTATTATATTTCCTAATTATTCTGAAATTCGGCTAATTGTTATCTTGATGCTATTGAACTGTAATCTACTGATATTATTATTATTGATTCGATGTTATTTAGACAACACTAATGTTGTTCATAACACTAATTTATTCATTCACTATTATCATTCACTATATAACTTTAGAACCTGATGAAGAAGGGGTTATCGAAAAGAGTGTTCTTTGTTCAGTAGCCATTCTTTTGAATTGTATTTGTTATTTTTTATTATACAATTATTAAATGTAAGTGATTTTTTACTTAATTCCAGAAAGTTGGGCTTTGTAATAGCACGAGATCATCTTCAGATTCTAGTGATGAACTATCTCGTAAGTTATGTAAATTTCACATTTGATCAAATTTTGAAACTATAAACTCAATCTCAAATGTCGTGAGACTTTAAAATTGGCGTAGATCTGCATAGGAAGGTTTATTATCATTATAATTGTTTCCTTTAATTCCTAGAGGAATATAGGGCTTCAGCCGTGCGTCTCCATTGCGTTCAGTTCTCTGCTGGAGTCTTCACCTGGCTTCAAATCCGCCCACACGTTGTCATCTCCTCTTCACATGACCTCCTCCAAGTCACCCTTGCACTGACGACCAACTCGCCGCTTCCCTTTCGGGTTCCACTCGAGTGATGGCTTGTCTAGTGATGTCACTTGATGGTTTCCTCAGAGTATGGCCAATCCATCTCCATTTCCTTCTGCATATTTGTTTCACAATCGGTTCCTGCTGCGTTTGTTCGCTCCCAGAGATCCCTGTTGCTGATCTTTTCTGGCCGGCCATCTGATCTTGAGTATTGAGCGAAGACAACTGTTAATGAAGGTCTGTAGTTTGTTTGAGATGCTCTTTATGACGTGCAGTGCAAGTCTCTGATCCGTATAGTAGCACTGACTGACTTCACATCGGAGTTGAAAATCCGGATCTTATTTTTGACGCTGAATGCTGTTGACCTCCACACAGACTTGAGAGTAATGAAAGCTTGCCTTGCTTTCCCGATCCTTGCTTTGATATCCTCGTCAGTTCCGCCTGTAGTTGAAACGATGCTTCCCAGGTTGGTAGGTAAAGGATGTTGTTTCTTCCAGGTTCCTTCCATTTATGCTGATGGTTGTCTGTTGTTGTTGTTCTTGTCCAGGAATCTTCATCACCTCTGTTTTCTCTATGTTCACCTGAAGTCCTATCTTTGATGCTTCTTCTGCCAACTTGTTGCTTTTCGCTTGCATATCTTCCAGTTTATATGCAAAAATCTTTGATTACTGAAGTATTCTAATTGATTAGATTAGTATAACAAAGAGATGTCAAACCCTTAACACTTTAATACTACTGACGTATGACAGAAATGTCGACGATAAGTGATACTTCAGCCAAGTCTAATGAAATAAAGCAAACAGAAATTTTTGTGCAGAACAGAATGAAGCTATCATTTATTTTCTTGGTTTCTCTTCAGCTGCGTACAACCTAAAAGATGATTATGTATTTGTACAGGGAAATCTTAAGGGCTGCATGAATTTCTAGTTAACAGAGAAACAAGATTAATGAACACTGCTCAGATGTTACTCTTTTGCAACTTATGCAAAGAATTTAAAGTTTAAACAGGATACAAACTTGCAGAATCAATGGTCGGATACATTGAAAATTGAGTTGCACAGTGAAGACACGAGATGAGAAGTTGATGATAAATTACGAATCAGTTGTGTACCAGTGTAGTGAGCTTAAACCGTCATAAAAACGAAAAATGAACAAAGGAAACAGGGGAAAGGTCTAAGCAAAACGATGATGAGGAGATGAGATCAGGCACTGAGTTACCAGGGCAAGGTAAAACTTATAACTGAATCTTTCTGAACATATAAATCAGGTTTTTACGCGTTTGATAGAAATTGCTTCAGTGAATTTGAGGAGAGTTTAGTCATATTGTCCTATTAATAATCTTGAAGGATTTCACAGTGTCCACCTCATAACCCTTATCAACAAGATGTCGGGCAATAGCACTCACTCCTTTGAGACGTAAGCTTTTTAGGAACATATTCAGACAATCTAATATACGCTCTTGTTTCCGCTCTCCTAGGGTAACTGCTGCCGCAGATACACGTAAATTTTAGTTCACAATTAGAGTTAATATAGGGAGGGAATCTATCAACCAACCTCTGATTTCACTAAAAGAACTAGGATGATCGGTAAACGGCAACCAAGTTGGCTGCAGGAGTTAATCAATTTAAATTTAATTAACAAATATTTCCTAGTTTACTTTTAGACGCATCATATATTGTGAGAAGACAGAAGAAAATTCTGTTGAAGAGTAAATTCTAATTAAAATAAAAATTCTTCTTCTGAAGCAACTTGGAATAAGAATATTACCTACAGCTGATAAGGTTCATTTTGAAGAATATATAGTATTATATTTCATTATGACTGAGCTGCATATTTATGGAGCTGAAATAAAAAAAACAAGACAGTTCAGAATGGTAAAGTACTTACCTCGTTGACAGACAGCCTCCATAATCAGCTGTATAGTGATCATTCGTTCTCAAGAGTTCTTTCACTAATGTCTTCAAATCAACTTCCTATAAAGCTAAAATGAAACTGCCAATTGTTTTCCTAATACATATCAGAATAAGTATATCCCACTTCATACAAGACAACCTGTTTTTTGATTTTCTACACATATTTCTTTGAGTTGGACGTCAGTAAATAATGCAATATCACTTTGTGGTTCGGGGTTCAATTCCCGGCCACCGACCCCCTCCTTTACCTCGCTAAGCTAGTAATAAGACTGGCAAAGAGGGAAGGTTGGGCATGAGGTTAGCAACCCTATCCTGTAAAAATAAATACCACTGTTACCGAAACTCCAAAGATCTAGCTTGAAGGCTTATGTTCTATTGGGAATGTTAGGGAATAAAAATAAATATGACACCATATCTATACTCCAGTTTCGTTAATTAGAACTTGCTTAATATCTACAGTGTAAACTCATTTCATCACTTTATTCACATAAATATTCGTTTTTAATTACAAATCCTGTAACTGTTTGTGTGAGTCAGTCTAAAACAGACAAACAAACTCCATTTTTTCAGGTATAAATGAACCCATAGAATATGCCTTAACATACTTGATGAATCCTCAGTACGTTGAAACAGCCTCGGAAGAATTGTGCAGAACTTATGCAGGAGATTTTAACGAAGTGAGTTTAATCTGAAGTGAAGTGATAGTTTGACAAATACAGCAAGCAGACTAAATTCACTGATTCTGGGGTAGTGAATACCTTAATATATATCGTGTCACATACATAAGACTGCATTATATGCCGTGCTTTGGTGGTTCAGCTGTAGAACGCTCACCAACCATGCACATAGTCCAGAGTTCGATCCCCGGTCATCGACACACTCCTTTACCTAGCCAAACTGGTGCTAAGGCCGGTATAGAGGAAAGGTTAGGTATGAGGCTAACAAATGTTGTTACCGAAACTTGAAAGCTGTAGCATGAAACATTGTGTTCTGCTGGGAACGCAAATGAATAGGAAAATTACGAAACATTATATGCAACGACTGGAGGTGAGTAGCAGCAAGTACTGAGTGAAGATTTCGTGCTCAAAGGAAAAACTCACTCTTTAGAGTATAATACTATAAGAATTTAGTGTTCAGTGATATCGTTGAATCACGCTGAATGAACTCTCTTCAGTAATATGAGTTGAGTTTCTGCATGGTTGAAGATGTACTTGTGGGATAGTGGCACTTATCACATGACTCACATCAGAAACTTTATGCCAGTTCATTCCTAACGACATGCATCAAACATGGTGAACTGTAGTCTGATATCATTTAATTTAATAAAGATATTGTATACTTGATCGGCACGCTGTTTGTTGGTAACCGACAGTGGGCACTGGCATTAGTCAGCACACGGCCAACCGTCAAAATTATCAGTTTTGAAAATCAGCGATATAACGCCATCATGTATCTTTTTTCGTTTTCCGTCAGTAAGTGTCCTTATCTACAAACGAGAACAGGATAGTTGCCCACAGTCCCATTAGTTTCTGCTGGTTCACCGATGGATGTCAGTTGGTGATCAAAGTAACTTTCTAATCAATTTTTCTTCATGTTTAATAAAGACAGATAGTTGATAAACATTTGTCTTTCAGAGAAAGAACCTTCAGCTATTCTGAAAAATTGTGTTCCACTGTTCTGTTGAAAAAAGATAGAAACGAATTTGAATTTAGCGCAGGGTGCTAACTGTTTCTAACGGTCTAACATTAAACCAAAGTATAAGGAAACGTAAACACAATTTAAGTTGCAAGTGTGTTACGCAAATGCGCAAAATAATTTCATTATCACACGGAATTACTATTATTATTCCGAGTGGAACATCAGGCTTCAGTAGCCCACCTCCTTTTCATCCAGTTTTCCGCACTCCTCTTTGTCTGGCTCTACCATTGACCATGGGCTCTCATCTCCTCCCCACATGATCGCCTCTATATCACCCTTGGACGCACGCCAAACTGTCCGCTTCCAATTCGGGCTCCAATCAAGGGTCTGGCGCGCGTAATGTCATTCAACATTCTCCTCAGTGCATGTTCAGTCCATCTTCATTTTCTTCGTCATATTTGTTCGGCGATCAACTCTTGGTTGATTCGTTACTTGGCAGCATTCCTTGCTGCTAATCTTGATCCGTAGTATGGCGCCAAATAAGAAAGTTGTTTGTGAATGTCTGCAGCAGACTATTTGAAATGCTTTTGTTGACGCTCACATCAAGTCGCTGAACCACAGAGTAGCACTAATTGACCCCTGACACTAGTGTTTAAAAATCCGAATCTTGTTCCTCATGCTGATTGCAGTAGAATTTTGCACACGGATTTCAGATTTATAAAGGTCTGTCTTGCCTTCCCAATCCTGACTGCCTTTGACATCCTCATCCGTGCAGCCAGCCACCTGTCGCTGAAATGATACTGTCTGGATAAGTGAAAGAGTTGACTTCACGGAGAGTAGAACACGTCAACTGTGTAATAAAATGTCAAAATATAAAAGTTATCTAATTATTCATACATATTTTTGTTTGTTTTCTATCCATCTTAACTTCTAGTGTAAAGATACATTGATGATGCTTGCGAATCATTTCATTAAGGTAAGATTTCAAAGACTGAAAGCCAGTTCAGTTAAAAGAAGCTTGTTCATATGCTTTGTTGTGATTGTAGTTTACATACTACTGGAAAGGTATTGCCTATGCTTTATCATCCAATTTGATTTTAGTATGGAAATTACTGAGAAGTTAGAAGTACTATTAATCTAAGAGTAGAGTGTGATATTGCGTTAGTGTTTTTTTATTAATCAAGCGCTGATTTACAGGAGTTTGATTGGTCACTGGCTTGGTCACGAGCTGACATCATTTAGAGAACGACTGGAAAACCATGGAGTATTGGAAAGCTGTTTCATCCTGGTTTGGGACTCCTCATCGGCACGCACCTAAGACCTTCCGGAAGCAGCTAGAAATTAAAGGCCATTGGGTTGGCCCCCAGTGGCTTAATCGTCTACGAGTTAGACTTGTAAGCGGAAGGTCCTAGGTTTGAACCGCAATGGGTATGTACTGCTGAAATGTCCTAAGCTAAAATGAAACAGCTGTCCAGTACTTCCTGGTATTCCAGTGGTATGCTAACTAATGTTATCTCGTAATCAGGCCAGTTTGTTTATTTGATGATGTTGAACAACACTGCAATGGATGTTAAAGTATTCTGAGTGTATGTGTTTCTTGTTGATTCTATAAACGATGACTCAGTAGTCAGTCTCTCTTTCATGATTAGTATTCCAAAAAATCAATAAAAAATTCAAAACTACTCAACAGTTATCCCAGAGAATTTATTAAAACGTTTATACAATCTAATTAAGAAATAGTAACATAAGTGATGGTTGAAACACAACTAAAATATAATTAAAAACCTTCGTAATATTACCCTGTAAATAAGTAATATCAGGGAATGTACTTAGTAGTCCTTACAGAACATCAAGCCATCAGATCATTTCTAAAGGATTAAGTTGGCAGACGTTTCCGTAGCACATCAGGTAAAGTAATTTAACTAGTCATATCCACTGGATATGCCTTCATTCCCCGGTGATTGTCGGTATTCCCAATGAAGTTCGAAACCAGTACCCATTGTTTCAAATGCTAAAGCGTTATACGCTAGACTACCTGTGCCACGACAGCCACCTACTGTGCAGGTACATCCAAGTGACGAGTCCAGAATAGGGCGAAATGCTCATCCTGGATTCTGCTGATTGTCACCGTCCACCAGACTACTTCAAGTTAATCCTCAGACATTGCCGAAGCATCCTCACTAGGAGTAGATATGTTAACAGAGGTGAAACATATCGTCATTATTACTCACTAAGGTTCCGAGTGATACATAGGGCTTCAAAAGCACATCTCCTATTCTCTACACCCCTCTTTAGCTGGCTATATGATTGACTATGAACTTTCATATCCTCTTCTCCATACGATCTCCGGCATGTCACCCAAGGGCTGACGTCCAACTGTTGCCTATAATTTAACAGATTTTAGCCTGTGGCACACTTACTCCAAATTATCAAGCTTCTGACATTAATTTAATGTGTCAGTCACATTAGTAAATTAGTCCAAAGTGTAAGTAAACTGTGCAAACAGAATGACCTTCATAAGGCGACTATTTCTTAATTTGTCTCAAAACACCTATCCAAATATCCAAACCGCAAAGATCCCCGACCTATCGACGGTTTCAAAAGACTAAGCCTAATACGCAGAATACTATGCAGTATAACCGACTCAGAACAACAGAAGACGGTTAGGCAGTGTGACTGTTTATCCTTCAACCAATAACGAAACAGATTTACAATTCGTCGAAAATACCCATCGGGACAATAGAGAGAATAGAACAAGGAGGTCAGCAAAGATATCTTTTCGGTGATTTACAATTATCACTCGGTACCACAGTTTGTAAATAAACGTTAATATAATTTACACCAATACTTCTGATAGTATTTCTCCAATCTTCTGACAACCAGTATACGATTAAGCGATGATAGCCTTCTTGTCTCCAGCCAATATGGAGACCAGTTCGAACAAACAAAGTGTTCAATGTTCACCAGCATTGAAAACATCATTGAATGCCATGTATTTCGTTTTTCTCTATTTTCAGATGCCACGACAACTGCTGGATGTCTTTTAACAAAATAATATATCGTTTAAATGAGGCTTCTTAACATTGACGCTTGGTTTTCCTTATCTCCTACATTATCACTTTGACACACATTATTATTACTTGTCGCAGATGTAACTCAAGGATAAATTTCTTTGAAAAATAAAAAGATACTTTACCTAAAACAGATTTCTGTTGTATTTCTTGGGATGTTTATGAATGAATAACATCAGTTCACCATCTCTGCGTATGATATCTGTAACGTTTCACTTATCTTCAAGTTTAACGATCACACTAAAGTAGAAATAGTCCTTATATTTCAACTGACATCAGTCACAGTTACCCCTGAAAACCAGGGACTACTGAACAGCTGTTTTGTCCTATTTCCGGACCCTTCAGTGGTACCTGCATGTGACCCCTTTCGGAATCAAAGCCATTACCTCCATGTCACAAGCCAAGCCCGTTGATAATTCACTCCAGTAGCCTATTTGTAGTATATAACACTGCTGCCATCCATTGTTGTTGGCTGTCCTCATACCGGACTTGATGGACCCCGCTGGTCATGACTTCTCACTAGAACCCCAAGCAACTTCATACTTTCGTAAGTAAGTCACCTCACCTAGCTACCTGGAAGCTCTTTACGCTATCCTTGGTGGGGTCATGGCTGTATACCATTAAATAGGCCCAAACTTATATGAAACGGTATTCCAGTACTCCCTGGCTTTCAGCGGCCATCTAACTGGTGTTATTTCGTAATCCCTGCAAGCCAACACCAGAAAATTTTTCATATTACCAGTGAAGTGTATATCACTTTTGATTCATTACAGTTTCTTACAACATGACAGTTGTCATAGTTAGGTGTTTCGTGAGAGAACCTCTATTACATGATAAAACTATCATAAAAGCATATTTTATCTGGAATTTATAAAAGCATTCATTGAATTTTTAACAATACTCAGAAGAAAGATAGCAAAACGTCACTTTTCATCACCTATTCATCTATTTGATTGCAGCTCTTTGTCATGGTGCTCATTTACTGTACATTTAACGAGCAGGTCCTCTAGACTCAACTGAAATAGTCGTGCTCTCACTTCGCTTTAAAAAACCTAATAAACAGATACACCTGGTTGAGGAATAAATAATAAAAATCGAAATGGATGTCCATGACCCTCATTCAGTCACCTATCAAACACCATTGATTGTTCAATTCAGTTAATAGCATAACTACTGCAATTAATATTCTTAAATTTAAGTCACTACCCCATTGTGTAAATATCCACTTTTTCTTTCCCTGTTTCAAGATGCTTCAGACAGTTTTTCTTAGATTTGAAAAGGGCTTTCAATGGCAGTGTCTTTCATTAACATATCTTCTTTTGTACGTCGGTGGCACAGTGGTTAGGACTCTCGCCGACCATGCACATGGTCCGGGGTTCGATCCCCTGCCGGCGCACACCCGATATCTATGGTTGGCCTGCGAAATTTGGGCTACCGATATCCATGCTGAAAATTCCATACTTGTACTGAAAATACGGTGTGGAATCAAGCTGTAATCAAAAAAAAATTCTTTCCTTTCGAATCTTCCTTTTCTTCTGTGAACCTTTCACGTGGATAAGTATTGACTAACTTCGATATTAAGCGGCTGTAAGTAGTTGGAAGGAAGCTCTGGTCCTAACTTTCGTGCTTGTTGGAAATCGATAACAAAGAGTCTATTTTTCCAACTGTCTATATAAGGTGTAGCAGTTTGTAAAGGCACACTCGAATAAGGTGTAGGTTGATGGATGAGTTTTTGAATTTCAAAACTTCCTTCTGAGACAAAAGTGATGTCAGTAGTGTTAGTATTATTAAAATTTAATTGGTGGATGGTGATTAGCAGTGGAATCCAGGATGCGCATTTCGTCCTATTTGGGACTCGTCGTCTGGATTATTATTAGTCTATACATAAGTTAAGACGCACTGTGACATGCCTGGATATTAAGGAAATGTACTGCACAGGTGTATTCAATATTACCGTCTTCGAGATTCTTTAAATAAGTGTTTCTCTTACACATCCTTGTTCTTTGTTGAATTCTCGTTTTCATGTGCGATTTTGAAGTATGTATTTGTGCTGATTAGTTACTCATCAATTCAAATCTTAGTTTTACAGAATAACATCAAGAAATCACACTACTGATTGCTTAGGCGTTTCCTCAATGGAAAAGCTACAAATTCAAAACGTTTTTCTCCAGAATGAGTCTGTATATACCCTATACAAGGAATCTAGTTAGACATCTGTACAGTAGAACTCACGAGATTACATACACACAGTAGTTAAACTATGGCGGCCTGATAAAGCCATAAGAAGAACTTTCTGAGGCGCAAAGATTGTTTCTCCAAGCATCACCTAGTTAGTTTAACAGTAATGAGGGAAGCACGGAATGCAAATCATTGATGTCAATGTGTTTATTTATTTTCAGCTAACATGTATGGGGTAATTATAGGTTGATATCAATTTTCCAGATAAGTCATTTGTCCTCATAATTAAAGCATGTAAAAAACGAGACATTAAGTTTCAATAAGTAAACATATTTTTGATTCTGGACACGTTTTTATCACTCTTAAATAGTTTATCGTAATCAGCAGTTTTCATGTCACCAAGGAATTTACATTTTAGTTATCAACATCCTATATATTGGTATCGTTTCCTTTCATTTCCCATTCTTTTACCTTCCAACTGGAGCATGGGACTTCAAGCTATGAATTTTTGAAGTTGCACTATCTGAGAGGTTTTTTATGGAGTGAGGTTGATAGCCCTACGCCCACACTTTCCTCTTCGCCAGGCTTACTGTCGGCGGGTAGCAAGGTGACGTTTAGTAGAACATAGACCTAGAATGGAATCGGGATTATGGTAGCTAATTTGGTTCCCGTTTATCGAACAACATGCTCTTTGGTGCATTTAACAGTCGACAGAAATAGTCATGTTAACGCCAACTGTGTATACAAATTTACATGTATCTGCGGGAGGAGTTACATTTGGAGAACAGAAAGAAGGGCGCACCTCCAATTCCTGCACATGTTCCGAGAAGCTTACGTTTCAAGGACACAAGTGTTTACAATAGTGCCATTACTCGACATCTCCTTGATATGGATCATGAAGTGAAAATCGCAAAATCCTTTAAAATTATCAATAGAAAAAAGGGCTCGATTCTCCTCAAATTTGCTGAAGCAAATTCTATCAAACGCCCGAAACTCAATTTTTATGTTCAGAAAGTTCAGTTATCAGTCTTTCATTGCACATCCTGGTAACTGGATGTCTTTATTCTCTCCTTCATTTGATTACGTAATCTTTGGCTTTAACCTCACTCCCCTTTGATATAGTGTAATGTTGCTTGTCTCTTGCTTCTATGACTTCCGTTGAACTCAGTACATTGTTACCCAATTTACTAGTTACTAATCATCTTACATACCTCTCGTCTTCATTACGTAATTTCTCAATCACTGTATGCATACCTTTACTTTGTTCAAACTTGAACTCCCTGTATAAAAACTATATAAGCGTAATTTTCTGAGCACTGTTCACTAATTGTGGAACATCATGTCAACTGACATCATGGGAAGTTTGCAAGTATGTTGAAACTGTTGTTCTGTACACAAATTCAATAATTTATTTAGGCCGTAGGTAGCTGATATGAAGCCAAAGAAATAAACAATAATGGTACCATATTATTCTGCACAAACCACCACTGTTGTTCTTGCTTTATTCAAATTAGTGATGGTAATCGATCAAAACAAACAAATTGCTTTAAATAGTAAGTTGACTCTTAAGAAGGATTCAGCAAACTAATAATGTTTCTACGAGTTGATCGCGGATTGATATCAGTTAGAGTCTTGTATAGTCAGTATGGCTACTTTTTAGACAATGACACAGTTACTGTACGCCAATGAGGACTGGCCACTTTAGTTAAGAATGTATAAATAATGGGAAGGACTGGATACCCTGTAATTATACTGAGGAAATTGTGCTTGCCGTGCGCAAAACACTGATGTCAAAGTCTATGCGATTACAGTATCAGAAGAAACAAGACAGAAGGGCGTAAATACTCGACTTTAAATCCCAAGGTCTAGCATTCTTGTCGCATTCCACCTGCTGAAGTCTGTGCAAATGACTAGTATCGTCTATCTTCACATATTAAATTAGACTCATGGCCTGATACATGATGTATCTGCCCCAGGCAACTAAGTTCCTACTTTGAGGACTGAAAAAGCAAGATCACTGTAGCAACATCATACTACTTTAGAATTTATAAGTAGCCAAATAATAAATCTCTAAATAACTCAACATTGAATGAAGCATTTTTAAAGTCTACGTGAAGATAGTGTACGTTTACTAGATAACTGAATTTCCAGTGAACCAGTATGTGAATTTCACTTTATAAATGTGCGTTCGTGAAATAATAGGCATAACTGTTACCTCAGTGTGTTACTAGTAGTGCTGAAAATATCAACAACCCTGATGTTGGAACCTCCATGATCAAATTTCAGAGGAAGAGAAAAAAGTCAAAGAATATCAGAATATCTATTTAACAGACGTTTGTCACCACAAGCCCTTCTCGTCTTCTTCGATTACACAAACACAAGTGTATAATTCCACGATCAATCCCTTATAAACTTGAATGATTCAAAATATGTTGTTCTTATTTACATATTCGAAGTTAACGGAGATCTCGTGTTTAGAAATTTTTCCATTCAGCGAAAGCAGTTACAGATCTTTCCATTCATAAGAGATTTCAGTCGTCACAAATTCGATACAGAGATTATATATAGATTTCAACAGGCCAATTAGAAGACTCATTCCCTCTTATGCCTTCAGTGGGTTTACCTAACACAACCGTATTTGCTGTACGCATCTACAGAAAAGTTATAAGAGCATACATATTAGAAATTTAATCAATATGAGGTCAAAATGTTAATTTAAGAGTAAAAATCACGAAGGAATCGTTAGCGAAAACAAAAACCAGATAGCCACGAACCGTTCATGCTAATAAAAAGTCAGCTTTGAATAGACGAAACATGTTTAGGCTTTTGTGGATTTCTCCTAAGAAATCCGTAGAGATAATCCCATCGATTAGTTGAACCACATGTTGAGTGACGCGTAAAATTCAAAAACACAGGATTTGTGTAGAATACGGTATTTTATTATATATA